CTGCTGAAATAGATGCGGAGAATCAACATGTATCTATAGCTGGTGTAACAGATCCTGGAATCATTAACTGCTAATTGGCTCCACATGCAAGCAGTTACTGCTAGGGAGCTTCCTCAGACCATATTACAGTAGGAGAGGCCTCAGTGGTTCTAACCTCATTTCCTACAGTGCCTTTCCAAATCTGCTAATGCACCATCAGTAATGCTATTTAGCTTCTGTGCAGCAACTGATAGAGCTCTTCAGGCAGTAACAAAGCAGGTTGTGCTTGTGCTGTTTTACAATTATCTCTAAACCTCTTGTGTAGTATCTTGGCCCTCATTTCTCCTAAAATCACAGCTCTGTCTCATTTAAATGGTTGAAAATTTGGCCATCCTACACACTGACTGTTCCATAACTTGTGTGTTGGTGATTATTGCTCACAGAATCTACTCTGCTATTAGTAGTTTAACGATGTTAATTCTACTTTCTAGTTCCAGTACTTTTCTTTTTATAAAACTGTTTTCGCTAGTTCTATTCACATTTTGATTCCCACATGCCATTGTTAAATATCAGGAAAGTAAAATTCAAATATGTATTTCTATATTAAAATATATATGTTTATATTTTACTATATAAATTTATATTTTATATATTTATATCTATACAATGGGATTTTCCAGCCTGGAGAAGAGAAGGCTCCAGGGAGACTTCATAGCAGTCTTCCAGTACCTAAAGAAGACCTCTAAGAAAGCTGGGGAGGGACTTTTTACCAGGGCTTGTAGTGAGAGGACAAGGGGTAATGCCTTAAAGCTGGAAGAGGGGACATTTAGACTAGACATTAGGAGGAAATTCTTCACTATGAGGGTTGTAAGACACTGGAATAGGTTGCCCAGAGAAGTTGTGGAGGCCCCTTCCCTGGAAGTGTTCAAGGACAGGTTGGATGGGGCTTTGTGCAATCTGCTGTAGTGGGTGGTGTCCCTGCTCATGCGGGGGGGTGTTACTAAATGATCTTTAAGGTCCCTTCCAACCCAAAACGTTCTGTGATTCTATTATATGTTTAAATAATTTGTTTGGAATATTGCATATAATATGCTCCAATTTTGGTAACTTACTAGTAAAAGTTTCTACATCAATGATGCCCAAATTGCAGTTGCAACTTCTACTCTTTCTACAATGGTATCCCTGAACCCTCTCGGTATGTTGTACTCAATCGTATGGAATCCATTCCTGGGTCAACATTACAAATGTCCCTTTAATAAAAAGAGTATACCTGTTCTGCCTTGGAAATGTTAAAGTAAAGGCTTTGTTCACGTAATATGCACTCTATTAATTTGCTGGCACTGTGTCTATCTTGTATTTCCAAAATCATGAACTATCTATCAACTGGAAACTTTGGTTTAAAAAGTTAAACAAAAGCAACAACAAAACTCTGAACTAAACACGTTTGACCTCATTTATTTTGTTCTTGTTTCAGTTTCTACTTTGCTTGTGGCTTTCATGTTTGGTTTAACCATCTCCAGTATTTTCCACTTGTATTTGGGTTGGTCATGTTGTTCAGGTTCCATCATGAGTGTTACAGATTATTTTTATTGTTAGCCAAGTAAGTAGAAATAAAATATTCAGGTGAAATTTGTATTCCGCTTCAAGCTCCCATAATACATTCCCTTAAAATCAGAGACATGCATTAAAATAAGAAGATTATTGTCTCCATTTAGTGGTCAGGGTGAACCATAACACAGAGAACCAGACTGATCTCTGTTACCCCCCTTCCTTCCTGAGGAAGATAAAAAGGGGAAAAAGAAAGGGATTTCAAGACTGGAAATTAGAACTAGAACAGGTTTAATGCAACAGGGAAGGGATAGTAACAACTAGGAAAACAATTAAAAATATACATATTTATATACAAAACGCAATGTAAATTGTGTCCGATATAAGAAGATACCTCATGGCAGAGCTGACATGAGAAAAAAGGGTCAGGAGTCTTCTCAGCAATTGATGGAGTTGATTCTGCAGAGCATTTGGCAAGATGAAGTCAGAGAACCAAGAGCTTTCTTCCAAGATGTCTGCCAGAAGAGAAAAAGGGACAAGTCTCAACTTTCCCACCCTTCTGGCATTTTATAGGCTATGGCGAAAAATGGGAGGTAATACTGAGGTCATCTGACCCTTCCTTGTTCTGCCCCCTGGACCTTCTCAGGATCCTAAGTATTGCCTTCTGTTTCTCTTGGGCTTGGCCATCAGAGGTCATCGCATCAATGCCATAAAATTAGTTTCTGCCATC